GAAAAAGTTGATCCCCGATGCCGAAAAAAAACTCTTATATATTTTGAATCTCTGGACACTAAATAAACAAAATTTCAAAGATTCAAAATCGTAACCGATCCTCCTGCATGACTTTTTATGTATTTATTGTTTTTTATGCATTTTAATGAAAAATTGCTTCATTACGATGTGCAGATCAGTTGAAATTACTAGTGCAATTTTTTTATACTTATTAAATGTAAAAATAATAATAATAATAATACATAACTATAATTTTTGGGAATAAAAGTTGGACGATCAATATTGTAATTATAAATTCGCACTGTCAACAAAAATAATAAGAGAGTATTTTCCCTAGAACACCGCAGATGCAAACATTAGATTATCCAAATTTTCTATCACTTCTTATTCTTATTAATATACGCAACATTAGTTACTGCTATTGGAATTTGTATTTGTATCGTGTAACAAAATAAATGATAACAAGTTGGCTAAAAGTAGTTCAAAGTTTTGTAGATGTAGTTGATTTATTTTTAATCTATTTAAAAATGACTTATTACTACAAGTTAAATCACGCCTGTTGTCATGATTGTAATATAAAAAAATTTGTGCCTTGTGTGGTAGAAAAATTGTTTGCAAAGACGGTAATTTAGAAACTTTTTTTATCACAGAAAACCAAGAAAAGCTGATCAAAACTTATGAGAATAGAAATTTTTCTTTAAATAATTTAAAATTTTGTATCGAGCATGTGTGTAAATTGTCAAAAAATATTATCTGAACTTATCAACGGCAATTCTATCGTTGGAAATTTTAAATTACTTAAAGAAAAACTTTTATTCATAAAAGTTTGGAAGATCTTTTTATGACTTTCTGTGAAGAAAAAAGTTTTTAAATTACCGTCTTTGCAAACAATTTTTTTACCACATAAGGTACAAACTTTCTATTTTAATCATGACAAAACGCGTGAATAAAAATAAATCAACTATATCTACAAAACTTTGAACTACTTTTAGCCAACTTGTTATCATTTATTTTGTTACACGATACAAATACAAATTCCAATAGCAGTAACTAATGTTGCGTATATTAATAAGAATAAGAAGTGATAGAAAATTTGGATAATCTAATGTTTGCATCTGCGGTGTTCTAGGGAAAATACTCTCTTATTATTTTTGTTGACAGTGCGAATTTATAATTACAATATTGATCGTCCAACTTTTATTCCCAAAAATTATAGTTATGTATTATTATTATTATTATTTTTACATTTAATAAGTATAAAAAAATTGCACTAGTAATTTCAACTGATCTGCACATCGTAATGAAGCAATTTTTCATTAAAATGCATAAAAAACAATAAATACATAAAAAGTCATGCAGGAGGATCGGTTACGATTTTGAATCTTTGAAATTTTGTTTATTTAGTGTCCAGAGATTCAAAATATATAAGAGTTTTTTTTCGGCATCGGGGACCAACTTTTTCTTCATTTAAGACAGGTGTGGTAAAAAACAAAAAATTTCGAAAAAAGTTTTAGACAAAAGTTGTAGATCTCTAAAAAAACACACATTTTATGTTTTATGCATTTTTTACCAAAAGTCATTATTTTTTGAGAAAAATGGTCCCAAAGTCATGGTTAGACATATAATTTGACTCGTATATAGTATCATATTCACCATTACTCAGGATCCAACGAATTCCGCCAAATACTTTCGGCCTTATCCACCCCCTCTAGTCAAGGTTTTTTTAAAAAGAAAAGCGAGCAGTACCATATTTACCATTACTCAGGATCCAACGAATTCCGCAAAATACTTTCGGCCATATCCACCCCCTCTCGCCAAGGTTTCTTTAAAAAGATAAGCGAGCCGTACCTTACGCGGCCGAAGGCCGTGTTTAGTATTTTGCGTTTACCGCTGCTGTAGACTCCACCCCACAATTTCCGCAAAATACTTTCGGCCATCTCCACCCCCTCACGCCAAGGTACTGCTCGCTTTTCTTTTTAAAAAAAATGGCGAGAGGGGGTGGATAAGGCCGAAAGTATTTTGCGGAATTCGTTGGATCCTGAGTAATGGTGAATATGATACTATATACGAGTCAAATTATATGTCTAACCATGACTTTGGGACCATTTTTCTCAAAAAATAATGACTTTTGGTAAAAAATGAATAAAACATAAAATGTGTGTTTTTTAGAGATCTACAACTTTTGTCTAAAACTTTTTTCGAAATTTTTTGTTTTTTACGAGATAATCGCAAAAAACCATGATTTTATGGTGTTTTTTATGGTTTTTACCATGATAATCAAATTTGCGCCAGTTTTCACTATCATTTTCGTAATCAGCGCACAAAAATACGTAAGTATACTGAGTTTCATAAAAATCCAAGGGGGACCTTATTAGAAACTTTATCCAGAATCTGAAGCGGAAAATTAATTTTAGAGAAAATTTGACTGCAGGCGGATTCTATCTCTCGTCTCTAGGTACATAAATCCGGTGTATATCCTCTTAGTTAAAACAGGTACATAACTTCTGTTTAGTAGAAATCTATAAGAAACTGTATGCCGAGTGCATACACACTCATACACAGTGGCAATGGTTGCAATGTGCAATGGCTAACTGCGTATCAGAGTCAATTCCAAGTTCCGTAATTTTTCAGGTTCAAATTCTGAAGTCTTTCACAAAGCTCAAAATGAAAAGTTAACAATGTAAATAGAAATATTTATTCGAACTTTTTTAAGATCTTTTAAACTTTTCAGAAGAAACTACTAAATTTATTTTCAGAAAGTACTGAAAAAAAGTACTGAATTATTTAGAGATTTTCCCAAACTTTCAAATGAATATCTCTGAATTTTTCCCTCGTATCCAGAGTTACTAAATTATTTCAGGACTTTTTCCTGAACTTTTTCTTTCCGTGTAGTATTTTGTAATTGTATATTGGAGATTCCACGTGAGATTTATAGTCGAGGTTTAAAATTCGGGTAAATATATTTTTAGGGTTCCGTACCCGAAGGGGGAACCCTATTAATGAGGCTAGTGAAGCAAGACATGTACCCCCCCCCCTAGCGGCCACACGAATTTATCTAGAGGGCTGAAATTTGGTACACATATGTATTTTCGCGTGCAGATTACAGGAAAAATATAGCGAACCTGATATGAATTGATTATCATAGCGTTGTCAAGGAAAAACCATGAATTTTTACAAAAAATCCCTAAAAATGACTATGTACCCCTCCCCCTGGTGACAACATTTTTTCACATAGAGCTCAAATTTGGTACACTTATGTATTTTTACGTGAAAATTACAGGAAAAATATAGCGAATATGATTCGGATTGATTTTCATAGCGTTGTCAAGGAAAAATCAAAAATTTTGAAACAAAGCGTTTTATCCTCCTAGCGCACACACTATTTGACAAAGACAGTTCAGATTTGGTATACATACGTATTTTTGCGTATAGATTACAGAAAAAATTTAGCGAGCACGATTGGACTTGATGATCATATTGTTTTTAAGGAAAACTCATATTTTTAGAAAAAATCATGGATTTTTCGAATAAAAAAAGAAGCAAATTTTATCTTGAGGGATTCAAATTTATACATTTTTACGTATTTTTACGTGTAGATTACAAAAAAATATAGCGAGAACGATTGGAGTTGATTATCATAGCGTTTTCAAGGAAAAACTGATAATTTTCGATAAAAATCATGAATTTTCTTCAAAAAACGAAGAAAATTTTATCTAAAGGGCTTCAAATTTATAAATTTTTACGTATTTTTACGTGTAGATTACAAGAAAAATATAGTGAGCATGATTGGAGTTGATAATCATAGCGTTTTCAAGGAAAAACTGATAATTTTCGTTATATGTGTCTATCTATGTGTTTTTATGCTCACATTACAGGAAAAATTAAGCAAAATTGGAATTTTTCCACCTGCCTTTACACTTTAACCCCCTTAAATTTTAGGTTTAAGGCTACGGAACCTTCGGTTTTAATGCGAGTGTAACTCGCACTTGTCTGATTTTTTTCTTATTCTTTATAAAAAAAATGAGATAAGTATTTTTTATGATCAAATTTTTGAGTTACGAATTTTCAAAATATTGTTCAGTCAAAAGTAGACCTATTTTCAATTAAAAATAGCTCAAAAACAATTGTATTTAGAAAAAATTTGCTTTTTCTTCGACTTCTAAAAAATTTTAACTAAAAAAAAATTGAGAATTTTTTGATAAAAAATATTATTTTTTTATAAACAAATTAACTTTTTTTTACATTTAGGCCCGATTTAAAAAAATTTTTTTTTTCGTTTACCTACCTGGAAGTGTTAAGAAGACTTTGCAAAAGGTTTCAGAGTGGGCCTGATAAGTTTAATAAGTTTAATAAAATTTTTAAACTCGAATTGCAAGCTTAACTTATAAGGACTGGAAGTAAAAAATTTTTAAAACTGATCGGATTCGCTTGAATATTGTTACTCGGGGGTCTCTGGGATTAAGAATATCAGCTTGATTTTAAAAAATTCAAAATGGCGGATCCAATATGGCGGACAAGAAATTAAAAAAATAGTTGGATTCGCTTGAAAACCGTTATTCAGGGGTTTTTGGGGTCGCTGATTACGAATATAACATTAGTTTTCAAAAATTCAAATTGGCGGATGAAGTGAGTGACTCGGGGGTTTTTGGGGTCGCTGATTACAAATATGACCTTGGTTTTTAAAAATTCAAAATTGTCGATCCAATATGATAACTAATATGATATCCAAGTTAATTTTTTTTTTGAATGTGACATCAGATTTTCTATCAGTCAAACCAATATTTTTCACGTAACATCTTTCATGTTATGTTCTTATAGGTTAAGCTTGCCCATATTTGCTATTAAAAATGATGAATTCGAAAATCCTATAAATTTAAAGAAATTCGTAGATAGAAAAAAATAAGTTTTGAAAGATGCAAACAATAAACATTTATCTTTTTATTTTCGGCAGAGGTATCATATGTAGATATATGAAAATAAATAAAATTTATAATAAATACCTGTCATTGTTTACTGCATACTCATCAACGTCAGTAACAAATTCAAGCTTCTCGTGACTAATTAATCTAAGAGGTGGATTAGATTTAGTTGGCTTCGGCGGTAATATTGGCTTAGTTTTATTTTCGTTCTTCATTTCATTATAAAGAAATATTTTTCTTTCAACTTCAGGTTTAAATTTCTCTTGTTCAGAAACAATTTCTGATAATTTTCCAGGTAATTCGAATTTAGTGTTGACATCTGCATTGACATTGTGATCATAAAAAGCAGAATTATCACATGTATTTTGTGTTTTATCATATTTTATTGGATCTAATTTTACTTGCAACTCTACAGAGGCATCGTGTTTACTTATCGAATCATTTTTAAGAAGATTTTGATCAAATTTCAAATCAAATATAGCATTTAAATCTGGCTTTAATGTTTCAGATTTAATAGATTGTTCATGTTTATTGTATAATATATCTTCCTTACCACCAGTTAATTCATGTTTTCCATTATTCACAAACGCCTTTGTTTGATGAACAGGTGAATTAATTTGTTGATCGTATTTATTTTGCGGTTGATTATTTTCATATTTTACTCCATTTTGCTCAAAACGTACTTGGACTTCGAGTTTGGACAATGGTTTTTCATTTGATTGTTCAAAACCTGATATTGTTGCTGCTAAAACACTGAGTGGATTAGATTTTATTACACAATTTAATTCCTGTGTTATATTTTGAACATTTTCATTTGTTTGGTTAGACAAATTTTGATTATTTAATGTGTTGTATCCAGTATTGCCTTTACTTAATACATTTAAAGTTTGTGGCATAACAGGATGAATTTTTGTTGATGATGTTTTATAAATAGGTGATTTTACGGGAAAACTTGGTGCTACACTTGATATTGGTTTTTGATGCAATTGAATATTTCGAAGATTTTGTTTAGTGCAATTTATTTGAGTATTTAAAAGGGCACTGGAATTTGATAAATTCATACAATTGTGGTATTTTTGCTGTAAATTCACATGTTGTTGAGTTTGTTGTATTCCATGTATTCGAAGACCTTGAGAAGCTTGATTTTCAATAATGAAATTATCATTATTATTATTAGAAATGTTATTGTTATTTTTATTGTTTGTGTTATTTGCACTGTAGGGAAAATTCTGTTGATTGGTGCCTAATGGCAGCAATTTACCTAAAATAAAAAAAAAATATTTTTTTATTTCGATTTCAGATTAAACGCAGAAATCATATTCGTAAATTAATGAGAGAATAAATTTTATTTTATGTATTATCAATTTCAAAATCTCAAATAAATAAATAATAATAATCACTATTATTAAATAAACCAAAATGAATTCACTATTAGAAAATTTTTCAGTTTAAACGCATTGTTTATAACAAAATTAGCTAAATTGTAAAATAATGCAAATTGTCAAATAATCTATGTCCTTAAACGACAACCCATAAGTTTCAACCTACCCGAAGGGCTGGGTCAGTGAGGCCCAATAGAAAAAAAAATATAAATGAGTTTTTCTCCGTTTTTCTTTCTAATTCTCACCATTTCACAGTGGGTTTATTAATAAACAAATTGTAGAAAAATATTTTTTTAAGTAAACAATTTTTTAATTCCGGGTTAAATAAAGATTGATTTGTAATCGTTAATCATAAACGTTGTGTACTTCAGTGTCGTACAAAAAAGTGGCCAAAAGTCAAAATCAACTGATTGCGCAATCGACGCAACGGTACGTACTTTTCGTGTTACGCACCTATATTTTTCCTATTTACTTCAGTAATAGCTCTCTGCATACTACAGGATTGAGACTGTCCACAAAACAATGTCTGCATTATTGTTACCGTAAAACGGGGTTATTTCGCTCATTGCGGGTAAATTCGCTCACCCACTTTTATGCTCTATTTCAGCTTTAAAATAAAGTTTAATACCTTTATTACCAGGTAAAAATGTTAAATTTGTTAATAGAAATACTAAATTTTAGTTTAAATCAAATTTAAAGCAAAAAAATGGGTGAGCAACTTTACCCGCACTGAGCGAAATAACCCCGTTTTACGGTACTGAAAGAAATTTAAATTTTGAAAAATGGTAAATCAAAGATTAATAAAAAGTTAACATGTTTGTAAGAGGTATGAAATTATTAATTTAAATGAAGTAATGAATACAATTTACTTGAAATATTAACTTAATATTAATTTAGAAAAATTATTTTCAATTTAATATAAGGGTGTTTAATTCCTTTTATGATTTTTTATTTTATTGCCTTTTTTTGTTGATAAAAGCGTGGAGGATTTTTTTTTATTTTTTGCAACATTCTGAAACATTTTACGATGAAAAATTCGTGAAGGTAATTTAAAATTTTTTTTTGTTAAATAATCACATTTAATTTATTTTTTATAGTAAAATAAACACAATGGAATTTTTTTTAATTAATAAAATATATTAATTATTTCATTAATTAATTTTATTAATGAAAAATAATTTTCTTAACCCTATATTATGCAGAGAGCTATTATTGAAGAAGATAGGAAAAATATAGGTGCGTAACACGATAAGTACGTACCGTTGCACAATGGGCTAGAATGCCAAAATGCCCCAAAAAATTTTTTTAATACACTGTTACCATAAGCACATATTATTGGACACTTCTCAAACATATAATGCACTGTTTACCGGCCTAGGCCGATAAGAAAATGCAATACTCTAATTTGATTGGTTGAAAACCAGATAGGTTTTACTTTATTGTACCAGTTTAGTTTCATAAGTCGCCGTACTATGGAGCACGTTCTCATCACATTGCCAACATGCGAGTGATGTAAATTGTTAAACTCGGTATCTTAATGGTTAAAATATTGTAATTTAATAACCGCGGCACAAAACATGCGCAGTAAGTCTTATTTCACGTTGGTACACCTGTACCATGTCAGCTGTTAATACAATAGTAAAGAAAATGGCGACCAACCAAAATAAAGTGGTGCAAGAAATGTCTGAAGACAATCCACAAGAAATTGCTGATGCAGCAAAAAATATATATCATTAAATTTATTACTAACGAAGTCCGCAGAAATTTATACTAAGACGTATAAAAATTCGCGTCTTGGAAAATTCAGAAAAACATAAACTTTATTACTGAAGACGTGATGCTTGTTTACTTCGATTATTAATTTCACACCCGTTTATCCAAAATAGTTCATATAGGGCTCGTTGGATGCGAATTTCGATAAGCATTGAAATAGTATTTTTAAAATTATTCTAATTTTATTCGTTAGTAAAATATTTCATTTTTTATTAATTTTGTTAGTTAATTAATTAAAATCTCAAAAGCAAAATATAATGCTATCTCAAAAATTTAACCATCGATTTATTATGACTTAAACAATATTCATGATTTTTTTCGCGCTTCAAAATGAGGGAGAACATGTTCAAAAGTTATAAACAAATTTTATTTTTTAAACAAATTGTTTGAAAAATCAATATTAAAAATCCGGCAGCCCCCTGCGGGGGCGGCCACATTCTCATCACGCGCTTCGCGCGTAGGGGCTCGCTTCGCTCGCTAGTTTGAGCGCGCCCCGGGGCGCGCGAAGGATGTTCGTCCCGCTTCGCGGTCCGATATTGATACACGCTTCGCGCGCATTGTTTAAGCATCGCGCTACGCGCTTTGTTTGTTTATTACAATTCAAAACCTAGTAGAATTAATTACTTTTTAACTACACTGTGTAATTCAAAAATTTTTCAATTACATTCAAAAATTGTATTAATTATACTACCAGAAAGTAGTTGAAAGACCCAAGAATCCATTTGGTAGAATGAGATTTTGTAGTTGTTTCAGACTTTGTAGTTGATTTAATTAATTTTGAAGTAAAATGTCAAGAAGAAAGAAATTATTTTTATTAGTTTTATTAAAAAGAGTAAAATTAATTACACACAGAGTTAAAATAAGTACAAAAGTAGTTATTTTAAAAGGGGAGCTTCATATAATCGACTTGTTTTGAAAAATTTATTAGAAACAACTCATAGTCTTTATTAAAATGCGTTAAATTAAATTATACAAATAGATAAGTTTTAAAGGTATTAGAATACATTTTTTATTGAGCAAAAAAAAGAGAATAGCGGCACTGCAGCTGTTCAAACTTAGTTCCTTAATTTTGCGCCGTTGATTGGCCAGGTCTTTGTAATTAACGAAAATCGACAAATCAAATTATTTACTAAAATAAGATATTCCGCTTTGAACTAATTTCAATTGAGTAAAAGAAAAAATTAATTGAAAATTTAAAAACATTAAAAAAAAGAACTTTAAAGTAAATGCATTTTTAAATCAGCAAATTTATTATATGAGGTTTTGCCCTCATGTTTTTATTCATAAAAATTTTTTTGTACAATTTATATAAGTGAAATTTTTGGTTTTTATAAATTAAATTTCATTTTCTTAAAGTACTTTGACTTTAAGGATAACATTCTCATCACGACACTCGCATTTCACGCTCGAAAATTAGAAACATACAATAGGAAAAGTAGGCATGCATTAACCCATTAATAAAATTTTTACAGGTAATTTGAGGCTATATCAAATAGTGTACTAAAAGAACCGAAAAATTTTAAATAAACAATTTACAAGCATTAAAAAAAAGATTTGTTTAGAATTTTTGTTCAGTTTTTTTAATTTTTTCAAATCTTAACCCTTCAGAATACCTTTAAATGCTAAAAATATCGGGTCAAAAATGTTTCAATACGCCATTTTGAATATTTAAAAACTGACTTCAGAATCGTAATGAGCGAACTAAAAAACCAAGGAGTAGAAAGATTTATTTAAATTTGTTAAAAGATTGTTGAAAAATGAATTTTCTCTTAAAAAATAGCAATGTTTATACTTAGTTAATTTATAATTCTTTATAATTTTGCCTGCTACACTTATTATTTTTGTTTCACTTCACAATGCTTTCGTTATAGTGGAAAAAATGTTTTATGAATACTGCTTCAAAAACTTTAAATCTATAGAGAGGAAAGTTGCTAAAAGAAAAGGTGGCAAAATAGGTTAAAACTGTGCCGCAAAAAATTAATGAGTAAAATAACACATCGAAAAAAATTAAAAAATTTTGTTACCTTAAACGTAATAGAACATAACTTTTTTAACTTTTTTGTTTTAATCTGTATCGAAAAGGGTTAAAGAAAAAAAAGTTTACTTTTGGGAGTATTTTAAGAGAAAATTAAAAAAAAAATTTTTCAAGAAGAATTGAATTTTTTAAAAATTTAAAATTTGAATAATTTTTGAATTTTTGGGCGGATTAGTCTGTCCAACGAACTCAGGCTTCATTTTTACATGTTGAAAGCGTGTACCAAATATCAAAGCGATTCGTTAAGATATGTTCAAGTTATCGTGGGGACAAAATGAGTCCACAGACAGACTACAGACAACAAACAGACGGACAGGATTTCAAAACATACTTTTTTGGCATCAAGAGGTCTCAAAACGTACAGATTCACTAAAATTTGAAAAAAGTCAAAATCGACCAAAATGAATACTTTCTAACTTATGATGAGAATTTAAAAAATCTACAAATAAATGAATTTAAACCAATTCAAAAGTAAATAATCGAAAAAATACGAAATTGTGGTATAAACAACGCAATTTAAACTATTTTAAAATAGAGGAATTTTTGAAAACAATTGCAATGTTTGGAAATGGAAAACAACAGTTGGAGTTATAAAAAAAAAACGTCGAGATTCACTGGAATTAGAGAATGCTCAAAATCGCCCAAATGTAATTCCTTCTCATTATGATGAGAATGTAAAAAAACCACTGCAAAGTTGAAGTTTACTTCCTAAACGCTTGTAATAAAACCTTAGTCTTGAATTTTGAAACATACTTACAATTAGTTAAAAATTCCTGTATATAATCCTTAAAGGATTTCTAGAGGTTACTATATAGGATTCTTATAGGTTCCCTGAGGAATCCTGTTAAGAATTCTACACAGGATCACACTAGGATCACTTGCAGGATATTGGAACAGGGATCCTGTACAGGAACTTTTGCAGGAACATTAGTTACTAAATTTCATTTGCAAATTTCTGTACAAGAAAAATTATTAAAAGAATATATATATTTTCCATTTAAAGAAATTTCTGCATTAAAATAAATTAAGCTACCAAGGAAATTAAAAGCTATTTAATATTTTTGAATCAGT